GTTTGGTTCACCGGGGGGAGAGCTTTGGTGGTGAGATGGCACGTTGGGGCTCAAGAAAAAAGAAGAAATTGGCCATTTCGTGACAATTAATTGGCCGCAGCTCTGCCCTCTGACCTCCCTCGGGAACGGTGTCACAGGTGACGAAAAGGGGCTTTTAGCTCCCTTCCCAGAATTGGGTTCACCGGGGGGAGAGCTTTGGTGGTGAGATGGCACGTTGGGGCTCAAGAAAAAAGAAGAAATTGGCCATTTCGTAACAATTAATTGGCCGCAGCTCTGCCCTCTGACCTCCCTCGGGAACGGTGTCACAGGTGACGAAAAGGGGCATTTGGCGCCCTTCCCTGCGTTTGGTTTACCGGGGGGAAAGCTTTTGAGTTGAGATGGCACGTTGAGGCTCAGAAAAATAAGCAAATGCCCTATTGGTGTCAATTTCTTGGCCGCAGCTCTGCCCTCTGACCTCCCTCGGGAAAGGTGCCACAGGTGACGAAAAGGGGCATTTGGCGCCCTTCCCTGTGTTTGGTTCACCCGGGGGAGAGCTTTTGTGTTGAGATGTCTCGTCGGGGGGTGAGTAAACTAGAAGAAATTGGCCATTTCGTGCCATTGTTTGGCCGCAGCTCTGCCCTCTGACCCCACGGGGAGGTGCCACAGGTGACGAAAAGGGACCCTTCCCTGTGTTTGGTTCACCCGGGGGAGAGCTTTTGTGTTGCGATGGCACGTTGGGGCGTGAGTAAAAAAGAAGAAATTGGCCATTCCGTGCCAATTGATTGGCCGCAGCTCTGCCCTCTGACCCCACGGGGAGGTGCCACAGGTGACGAAAAGGGGCATTTGGCGCCCTTCCCTGTGTTTGGTTCACCCGGGGGAGAGCTTTTGTGGTGCGATGGCACGTTGGGGCGTGAGTAAAAAAGAAGAAATTGGCCATTCCGTGCCAATTGATTGGCCGCAGCTCTGCCCTCTGACCCCACGGGGAGGTGCCACAGGTGACGAAAAGGGGCATTTGGCGCCCTTCCCTGCGTTTGGTTCACCGGGGGGAGAGCTTTGGTGGTGAGATGGCACGTTGGGGCTCAAGTGAAAGGAAGAAATTGGCCTTTTCGTGCCACGTTTTTGGCAGCAGCTCTGCCCTCTGACCAACCTCGGGAAAGGTGCCACAGGTGACGAAAAGGGGCATCTGGCTCCCTTC